AATGAGATAGACCCTTTTAACAAAATTTTAAGTGTACAGCATAGTGTTGTTAATTATATTCACATTGTTGTGCCGAAGATCTCTGGAACTTTTTGATCTTGAGTGGCTGAAACTAAACCTATTGAACAGTTACCTCCTCGTTGGTCCCTCCCTGCTGCCTCTGGCAACCACCATTTACTTTCTGCCTATGAATCCGACCACTTTTGATACTTTGCATATGTGAGATCTTGCAGTACTTGCCTCCTGTGACTGGCTTATTTCACTTAGCCTGAGTTGCTCAAGCTCTCTCTGTGTTGTAGCTTGTGTTAGAATTCCCTTAATTTAAGACTGACAAGTATCTTATTGTATGCATATACTGCTTTTTCTTTATTCTTTCCCCATCAGTCAGCATTTAGGTTGTTTCCACCTGCTGGTTATTGTGAAAATTGGGTGCAAGAAACATGAGAGTGCAAATCTCGCTTTTCAAGATCCTGTTTTCAGTTCTGTTGGATAAATACCAAGATGTGGATTGCTTGGAAATATGGTAGCCATATTTTTAATTTTTGTGAGGAACTTTTATACTGTTTTCCATAGTGGCTGTACCATTTTAACATTCCCACTAAAAATGTACAGAAGTTCCATTATTTGCACTATCTTGCCAACATTTGATTTATTTATTCATCTAACTAGTGCTGGTGATGGAACCTAGGCCTTGTGCATGCAAGGCAGGTGCTCTACCGCTGAGCTACATCCCCAGCCCTATTTGTTTATTTTTTATACTGATCCTTCTAGCAGGTATGACATGATACCTCGGGTTTTGATTTGATTTTCTCTGATGATTGGTGATGCTGAGCATCTTTTCATGTACGTGTTGGCTCTCTGTCTTTTGTGGAGAAATTTTTAAGTCCTTTTGTGCATTTTCTAATCAAATTATTTGTTTTTTGCTATTGAATTATTTGAGTTCCTTATGTATCTTTTAAAATATTGATCCCTTATCATATTTATGGTTTGCAAATATTTTCTCCTATTCCGAATGTTTTCTTTTTAACCCCCTTGACTGTTTCCTTTGCTGTGCAGAAGCTGTTTGGTTTAATAAAGTCCCATTTGTCTATTTTAACTTTAGTTGCCTGTACTTTGGTGTCATATTCAATAATCATTACCAAGATGAAAATTATGAAAATTTCCCTCATATTTTATTCTAGGAGTTTGACATTTTTAGGTCTTACATTTAGGTCTTTTATTCATCCTGAGTTAATTTTTGTATATGGTGTAAGATGTAGTTCTAATTTCATTGTTTTTGTGGGGGGATATGCAGTTTTCTGAATACCTTTTGTTGAAGAAAGTCTCCCTTCCCCGTTGTGTATTCTTGGTGCCCTTATCAGGTATCATTGACCATGGATTTATTTCTATTCTGTACTATCTGTCCAATTAGTCTGCAAATGTGCCTTTAGACCAGTACCATACAGTATTGCTTATCTTAGCTTTGGTATAAGTTTGAAGTCAATAAGTGTGAGGCCTTCAGATTTGTTCTTTTTATCTACATTGTTTTGACTATTTAGGATCCTTTGTGGTTCCATATGAATTTTATAATTTTTTTTCTATTTTTGATAAAAAATGCTATTGAGATTTTGATAAGCACTRTATTGAATCTATAAGTTGCTTTAGGTAGTATGGCCATTTTAACAATTTCAAATCTTCCAATCCATGAATAACGGGCATCTTTTTACATATTTGTGTCTTGTTTAATTTTTTTCAGTGACATTAAATAGTTTTGATGTTTTATATTCTTTTGTTTCCTTGGTTATGTTTATTACTAAGTATTTTCTTCCTCTTGATATAATTGCACATAAGATTGTTTTCTTAATTTCCCTTTTGGATAATTTGTTGTTAGTTGGTGAAAATCATTGGGATTTATGGTGTTATCTTTGGGATTTTTATACATGGAAATTATATTGAGGTAATTTTCTTTTATTACTAATTTGAATATTTTTGTCATGAAAGTATTTGCTAAATTTTATGAAATGCTTTTTCTTTATCTGTTGAGAAAATTGTGTTGATTTTATCCTTCATTCTGTTAACGTGGTGGATCATGTTGATTGATTATTGCACATTGAACCATCCTTGCATCTCAGGGATGAATCCCACATGGCTATGGTGTAGGATCATTTTAATGTGCAGTTGAATTTGGTTTCCAGAGATTTTATTGAGGATTTTTGCATTTATATTTGCTTGGGAATATTTGGCCTTTGCTTTCTTTTCTTGTAGTGTCTCGCTGGCTTTGTTATTAGGGTAACTGGCATTATGAGTTTGGAAGTGTTCCCTCCTCTTCAGTTCTTTGGAAGAGTTTGAAAGAGTTTGGCATCAATTCTTTGAGTGTTTTGTAAAAAGCAGCTGGGAAACCATCTGGTCCTGAATTTTTTTTTTTTTTTTTGTTGGGAGATTTTTCATCACTAATTGAATTATCTTACTAGTTATAGGTCTGTTTCCTTATGATTCAGTATTGGTAGGTTGTATGTTTCTAGGAATTTATCCATTTCTCTTGTGATCTGATTTGTTAGTATATGATTGTTCATAGCAGTCACTTATGATACCTTTTATTTCTGGGGTATTAGTTGTAATTTTAAGGTTTGTATCCTWTATGAGTTTAGCTAAAAATTTGTCATTTTTGTTGATCTTTTCAAAAAAGCAACTCACAGTTTCATTGCTTTTTGTTCCTATTTTCAATTTTCTTCTTCTTATTTATTTATTTATTTTGGGGAAAAAAAGGAAAAAAAAAACATTTTATTGCTTTGCTAGCAAAGGAGAAACACAGGGGACTCCTGTCTCAAGAATTATAGGCATGTGCCACCTTACCCAGCCAGCTCTGTTTTCTATTTCATCAATTTTTGCTGTATTCTATTATTTTTCTCTTTTGTTAATTTTAGACTTAGTTTATTTTTTTCTAGCTTCTTGAGGCATAAAGTGATGTTACTTCTTTTGACATTTCTCTTATTTTTAATGTAGACATTATGGCCATTAATTTCCCTTTTGTATTGCTCTTGCCTTAAGTTTGTTATGCTGTGTTTTCATTTTTATTTGTCTCTGGATATTTTCTAATTCTCTCTCTTGCTACCCCCTTTTTTGTTTGCAATGTGTGACTATATAATTTATCCATTATTTGGATTGTGTTTTCTTTAATTTCCACATATTTGTGTCTTTCCAGATATTGTTTGAGTCCTCCTTCTGTATCTGATTTCCAGTTTTATTCTATTGTGGTTGGCAAAGATACTTGTGTGGTTTTGGTCTTCCTAAATTATGACTTGTTTTGTGACCTAACGTGATCTGGTGAATGTTCTGTGTGCTTGAGTAGAATGTGTCATCATTCTGCCACTGTTGGGAATGTTCTGCATATTGTCTGGTAGGTCCATTTAATCTATAGTGTTGTTCAAGTCCTCTGTCTTTTCTTGGTTAATTGATCTTCTGTCAGGATGATGTAATTATTATTTAAAGTGGGATATGCAATCTGGGAACACTAGTGCACACCTATAAACCCAGCTACTCAGGAGGCTAAAGCAGGAGGATCACAAATTCAAGACCAGCTTGGACATCTGCCTGAAAAGAAAAATAAAAGGACTGGGGTGTAGCTTAGTGGTAGAATGCCTTTGGGTTCAATCTCCAGTATTAAAAAAAAAAAAAAAGGTAGTATATTGAAATCTCCTAATATTGTTTGGCTGTTGGTTTAGTCTGCTTTTTTACCACTGTGACCAAAAAGACCCGACAAGAACAATTTCAGGAAAAGTTTATTTTGAGGCTCATGGTTTCAGAGGTCTCAGTCCATAGAAAGCTGAACATCATGGTGAAAAGGTGTGGTGGTGGAGGAAAGCAGCCCAGGACACCACACCAGAGAGAGAAGAGGAGGAGAGAAGAGAGAGAGAGAGAGAGAGCTATTTTCAACAAAGATAAAATATATACCTCAAAGGCACAGCCCAGGGAACCCCCTCCTCCAGCCACAGCCAACAGCTATGCCCTACCTGCTTATAGTTACCACTCAGTTAATCCCTATCAGATATTTAATGCATTGATCAGATTAAGACTTTCATAACACAGTCATTTCATCTCTAAAGTTTCTTTTGCATTGTCTCACACATAAGCTTTTGGGGGACACCTAATATTGAAACCGTAACAGCTATCTGTTTCTTTCTTCGCTTCTGTCAATGTTTGTTTCATATATTTTGTTGCTCTGATGTTGGGTTCATATATAATTGTTATTGCCTCCTTGTGAATTGGCCTTTTTACCATTATAAGTTCTTTTGGTTTTGTCTAACAGTGTTTGACTTATAGTTTATTTTATCTAATATAAATATGGTCCCCTGTGTTAGTCAGCTTTCTGTTACTGTTATACAATACTGGAGATAATAAACTTAAAAATCGGAAAGGTCTATTTTGGCTTACAATTTTGGAGGTTTGAGTCCATGCTTGGCCCACTGCTTTTGGGCTTGTGACGAGGCAGCATCTCATGGCAGAAGCACATGGAAGAGGAAGCCCAGTCATCTCAGCTGGGTGCAAAAAGAGAGAGAGAGGAAAAAAATGGGGTTCCACGATTTCCTTCAAGAGCACACCCCCAGTGATCTAAGTTCTTCCCACTAGGCCCTAAAGGCTGTATCACCTCTCATTTGTACAAGGAGCTGAGGACCAAGCCTCCTAACACATTGGCCTTCAGGGGGACATTCTAGATCCAAGCTAGTCCCTTCCCTGTTCTACTTTGATCTCCAGGTGCATGGAGTATCCTTCTACATCTGTTCACTTTTAGCCTATATGTATTCTTAAACCAAAGTGAGTCTCATGTAGACAGCCTACAGTTGGATCCTTTTTAAAAACAGAATATCCATTCAGCTATCAAAAGAATTCATCTCTAAACACTTGTTTGCACTCAGTAATTATGTGTACTTGTATATCCCAGTGTTTTTCATAACTAAAGACCTCTAGTAACTTGTTTTTTCCTCTTTATTTTCTATGCCTGTTTTCTCTTTCTCCTCGAACAGAGACAACATATCTGGTTCCTTGACAAGGCCACAGCCTCCTCCTGAAGATGTGCTCCACAAACCCAGGCAATTGGGTCACCTTTGATGATGACCCTGCTTTTCAGTCTTCTCCAAAGTCCAAGAATTTCCCTCTGGAGAATCAAAGTGTCTGTAGACCAAATGGACTTAAACTGAACCTGCCTGGTCTCAGAGAATTTCCCAGTGGGCCTTCCTCCGCCAGCAGCACCCCACTGTCTTCTCCCATTGTTGATTTTTACTTTAGTCCKGGACCTCCAAGTAATTCTCCCCTTTCTACACCAACCAAAGACTTCCCAGGTTTTCCCGGCATCCCTAAATCAGGGGTTCATGTCCTTTATCCCATTCCAGAATCTTCTCCAAACTGTCCACTTGTGCCAGCAGGAACAGGTTCCTCCTTATTGTCTACTAAGTCAACCTGTGTCTCCTATGCTTTCGTACCTAAGGACCCGTCAGGTACACCTCCAGCTCCCAGCGTGGGTCTCTCAGATGAGACGAGTCCTCAGCAGGCTGAAGGTGGAGGGCTGCAAAGCGATGCTCCCCAGTTTCAGTATTTTCAGGAGGACTGTGCTTTTTCCAGTCCATTTTGGAAAGATGAAGGCAGTGCTTCTCAGTTCACCTTTGATCCCTCGGGAAGCAGAAAGACTTTCTCGTCAAGAGACAGGGAGATGCCTATGGATCAGAAAAGCCTCAATAAATGTTCMCTTGACTACATCTGTGAGAAGCTTGAACACTTCCAGTCATCTGAGCACCAAGACCCTCTTGGAAATTTGTCTGCRCAGTGTCCCTATGCTGAAGACTCTGTTTCGTCCTTTGTCCCCCATACGCTTTTCAGGAGCCAGCCCAAAGCCGGATGGTCCTTCATGCTGAGAATCCCTGAAAAGAAGAACATGATGTCTTCCCGGCAGTGGGGCCCAATTTTTCTGAAAGTCTTACCCGGAGGGATTTTGCAAATGTATTATGAGAAGGGCTTGGAGAAGCCATTCAAAGAGTTCCAGCTTGACCCACACTGCAGACTTTCTGAACCCAAAGTTGAAAACTTTAGTGTGGCGGGAAAAATCCATACTGTGAAGATTGAACATGTGTCTTACACAGAAAAAAGGAAATACCATTCTAAGACAGAAGTCGTGCATGAACCAGACGTCGAGCAGATGTTGAAGTTGGGGTCCACAGAGTACCGGGACTTCCTGGACTTTCTGAYCACCGTGGAGGAGGAGCTGCTGAAGCTACCCGTCGTTCCCAAACCAAAGAAGAACTATGAGGAGCAAGAAATTTCCCTGGAAATTGTGGACAACTTTTGGGGTAAAGTCACAAAAGAGGATGGGAAATTGGTTGAAAGTGCTGTCATAACTCAAATCTATTGCCTCTGCTTTGTGAATGGGAACGTGGAGTGCTTTTTAACCTTGAATGACCTTGGACTGCAGAAGCAAGATGAATGCTGTTTTGAAAAAGATCCAGAAAAGAAGTGGATCGAGATTCTTGACTACCATTTTCATAAGTGTGTGAAAGGACAAGAATTTGAGCCCTCCAGGGTCGTTAAGTTTGTCCCTCTTGATGCCTGCCGGTTTGAGCTGATGCGTTTTAAGACTTTGTATGATGGGGACGAGCTTCCCTTTTCTGTGAAGTCCGTCGTGGTTGTCCAAGGCGCCTACGTGGAACTTCAGGCCTTTGTCAACATGGCCCCGTGGGCTCAGAGGCCATCCCACTCCAGTTCCTCCAGGGGCTGTGACAATATAATGATACACTTTCCTGTCCCATCTCAGTGGATCAAGGCTCTCTGGACCATGAACCTCCAGAGGCAGAAGTCCCTGAAAGCCAAAATGAACCGCAGGGCCTGTCTGGGGAGTTTACATGAACCTGAATCTGAACCTGTCATTCAGGTCACTGTGGGGTCAGCCAAATATGAGAGTGCCTACCGGGCTGTGGTGTGGAAGATAGATCGGCTTCCTGATAAAAATTCAAGTAAATATTCAACACCTAAGTTGATTTCCATAGGAAATAACAAATGTTTTTTCCCTTCTCCTTGGGTTGCAAGCAGGCAGAGACAGATGGTAATTTGTCAGCTGAGGCCAGTTTACCTAGACCTGTGGGAAAGGGAACATTTAGCCCAACAGCTGGTTTATTTGTTTCCTTTTGGGCCTATTTCTACCACAAAAGTTTAAGTTTTTACATCTTTCTTAATATCTTAAGAGATAGGAGTTTGTTGTRGCTGGTGCACTGAGGGAAAATATGCAGACATTCCCTTGGGCTTTTTGACATCAACCTGTCAACATCAAATATTAAAAATGTTTCTAACATAGCTAATTAATCTTTAAAGACCTGCCATTCATGAGTATACTTGAACTTTTTTGAATTCTTAGCCAGCATGCTTCCTCCCTAGGTTTTGCTCCCTCCCTGCTCTTGGAAATAAGACTGGCTTACTTTTTTTTTTTTTTTTTTTTTTTTTAAACCAAATTGATTTCTTTGGCTGAATTTACCTATTTAACTGTCTCAAATAGTTGTTTTAGAATTAGACACAATCCAAGTATTAAAAATTCAGTTTATTTTTAAAAATCTGCAGAGCAAGTAATCTAGAAGGTCAGAACTTTGAAAAGCCAGTTCTAGCCCCACATTCATTTTAGGATAGTAAGTTAGTAGTGGGCTTGATATCATAAAACAACAAGGGAAATTTGGAAATAGGGCTATTCCTTTCTTAAAAATTTTTCTAGTTATGGAGGTGAATTTGGGCAGGTTTGGGAGATCTGAGTTGATGCACTCATTCATTCACTCATTCATTCTCTCATGTATTCAGTCAAACTGAGCACTTACTGTATACCAAGTGCAGTAGCAAGTGTGAGGGTAAAGCTGGGTAAGATCTGGTTCCTGTTTCCAAATAGCTCATGGCTGCTCTAGTCCTTTAGGGAAATTTAAGCTCATCTGAGACCTCTCCAGCCTGTGGACTTGAGAAGAAGAACTTTTACTTGGGGTGACCCTCTGATAGTGTTTCTCACACCTGACCAAATGTTGGAATGACCTGAGACCTTTTAAATAATCTGGATGTTCAGGCCATGCTCCATATCAATTTAGTCAGAACCCCTGGGGCAAGGGCTTAGGCACGAGCATGTTTAGAGAGCTCCCAAGTGAACCTCATCGCAGGGCAGTATACACACTGCCCTACAGACTTTGTAATGATCTAAAGCAGGAAAAGCAAGCCCCAGCTACAGTGGATAGAGGGGCAGCATGGAGTGCTCCCCGGGTGGCTGTGGACCACCTTCTCCATGACTTATAATTCTCTGGTGACATCTGTCAACTGACTAGAGCTTGAGCTACAGACAAAGATCAGCAAGTAAGAGACACAGGCTTGGAGGACTGAGGAACCTAGGTCTCTGTCTAGAAGAGAAGTCCCCACGCTGTAGTCTTCTCCTTTATTAAAGCTGTGTTCTACCCCTTAGTGTTCTTGTGACTCCCACATTAGCTGGGAGTCTGTTCCCCAGCGAGGTTAGCTGGGGCCCAGGCAGGGTGGGTAGTGCTGGGTTAGCATGGTCCCAATGCCTCTGACTGCACCTTCTGGCCAACTCCAGTGTGATGAGAAGGTCAGAATCTTCCATGATGTGTTCCACAGAGACCTTCTCCTGCCTTCTTTTATAACTAGTCTGTTGAGGCAAGTTGAAGGGTTCTCAGATTGTCTGCATGCCAGCGAAACAAGTAGAAGATCTTGGGAACCAGGTTTTCAGTGATCTTTTGTGAAAGCTACTTGTGCTACTTTGAGGTTGTGAGGGTTAAACAAAATCAGGATATATTGGCTTTTATCTTATTAAAGGAAATAAAAAAAAAGGAAAGCTGGGAAGGCAGGCAGGCTGGAATGCCTACTGGAACCTCCTGGAACCAGAGGCCTCCCCTGAGGGCTGGTAACTCAGCTCCTGGAGTTTTCTGTTGGTCCTAGAGATGGTTGTTGGAGCAAAAGATCAAACATGCTTTTTTCATAGATTTGTGGTGGTGATTATGCATCTGAGAGAGGAGTGCAGAGCTTAGCCTGCTGGTTTCACCAGCTGGGAGCAGAGAGACAGGGAGACCATCCTGCTGCTTCTCTGCACTGTCTTTCTCACTCATATAACCTGCTTGGAGCAGGTAGTCCTGGAGGACCTGAAAGGACTAAGCTCTCAGTTTAACCTGGCCAGGGCCGCCACTTATTTTGCAAACTGAACCCATACTTTTTTTTTTTTTTTTTTTTAAATTTTGGAAGTGGAACCAGCATATAAAGTTTCTTGTGAAAATAATCCTGTTATAACACTGGATGTTCTCAGCATGAATGGTGTAGATAATGGATGGAATCAACAAGAATTTCTTGAGAGGAAGACTCATTCCTTCATTGCAGACCCACTAAATTTCCTCCAGGTACAGGCTCTGTGCTGGATGCTGGGGAGATGCACAAACATGATCCCTGCTCTCCAGAGACATGTGAGTGTAGCAGGTGAGACAGACCCAGGAGCAACCCCCCAGGTGCACTGGGGAGAAGTATGCTATTCCAGCATGCACACACAGGCACAGTGGAGATCCCAGAAACAGGAGAGATAAGCCTGGGTATGAGGGAAGGCTTTACTCAGGAGCTGGTGGTTAAGCTTGGCACAGAACTATCAGCAGATTCCACTCAGAATATAAACAGCAGAACCACAGGCCTGTAGGTGGGTAATCTACTAAAATCTGGGGAGTGGTAGGAGAAGAAAGAAGCACATGAAGATCTTGTGAGCCATGTTATGGGGTATGGAGTTTGTCACCAGGTCCTCAGAGGTGTCTTCAGGTATGACTGGGACAGTATCATACCCCATTTTGGAAAGGCAGGTGTGTAGTGCAGGGGAGGTGTGCAGGAGTAGGTTATAGATACAGGGAGGCTGACAAGGAAGGATAAGGAAATTTAGAGGAGGTTCCTCCAAGATGATGACAGATTGGACATGGGGGCAAGGCAGTGGGGACAAAGTCAGGGTGTCTAGTGTGGGGAATGGTGTTGCCATTAGCTGAGATAGCCTAGGATCTGTCAATCATTCACCTTTTTAAAATTAAGTCTGTGGTGCATGGTGGTGCATGCCTGTAATCCCAGCTACTTGGAGAGAGATGCAGGAGGATTGCAAATTTGAGGTCAGCCTGGGCAACTTATTGCAACCTTGTCTCAAAATAAAAAATAAAAAGGGCTTGAATATAGCTCAGTGGTAGATGTCCCAGGTTCAATTCCCGGTACGCCCAGTAACCACACTTTGGTGTGTTATCCTTGTATTATTCGTTTCTTTGGACCTTCAACAATTCAGTTTCAGATGTTAAATATTTTGGTTCAGGGGGGACTGGATATCAATATACTTATTTACCACATAAGTAAATAAGTGAATAGTCTGTTTCCCCATTTTGGAGTGAATAGTCTGCTTCCCCATTCTGGCTGCATGTTAGACACATTAGAGCTTTAAAAACATACAGGTTGAACTTTTCTAATCCCCAAATTCAAAATGCTCCCAAATTTGAAAGTTTCTGAGCATTTAAGTGGAAAATTCCATTCCATGAAATTCAGTTTTATGCACAAAATTATTTAAAATAGTGTATAAAATTAGCTTCAGGTTGTATGTATAAGGTATGTATGAGACATAAATGAAGTTCATTTAGGCTTTTGTCCCATTCCAATGATATTATGTCTATGTAAATATTATGAAATTAGAAAAAGAAAACAACCAAAAAACATCATCATCAACAAAAACAAAATAACTTACAATCTGTAGCTCTTCTGGTCCCCAGCATCTCAGATAAGGGATATTCAACCTGTACCCAGCCCCTAACACATCTCTGGGGCCCAGTTTTTAATATTTGTGAAAAGCTTTCCTATTGCAGCCACGGCTCAGGAGAACTACTGACTTGGTCACTCTCCTGTGAAACCCTGTCTGATCTCCTAGGCAGAGATCATTCCTCCTGCTCCGTGTGTTCCTATCATCTAGAGGCCTGTTACTCATCTCCCATTGGTATTTACCAGCAGTTGGGCTCAATGAGAACAATTACAAGAATGGACTTTGGTTGGACTTGATCTGGGCCCTCAGGGATTTTTCTGGAGACTGTCAGAGCGCCAGGCCCATACAGAACAGCATTTTACAAGCATTTCAGTCAATTTTACAGTGATAGTGGTCTGAACAAATCCTTTGGGATCAAAGCTTTGGCAAAGATTAGATCTGGGTGCCAAGGTAAGATCAAGGTCCTGACAAGGAGAAGAGGGCTGTGTCAGAGTGGGGAGGGGAGAGTGCAGGTCCGAGGGGGCTGGTTATGTGAGTGAGAAGAGGTGGAGGCAGAGGAAGGTTGGGACTGAGGGGAAGCCTTTGTTTCAGGACAGTGTTTCTTATTAAACTTCTACGTGAACCTCTTTGTTAAAATGGAGGCCAACTCTGGGGCTGGGGCTGACACCCCTGTGTCTCTAACAAGTGCTGCTGTGGACCAACCACACACAGTAACTGGATCCTAGAAGTCATCTCTAGTTCTCGGTGTGATTTTTTTATATGATTTGTGTGTTTAGAGAACAAGACTTTAAAAAATATTTTTAAAATATCATGCTTTCCAAACCAGTTTCTGAAAAACCTTCGCTATTAGAAAAATATTTTGTGGAAACTGGTGGAGAACATATGAAATAGTCTACTAGGCACTAATTAAAAATATTTTGTTTTTGCTTTTCTTCCTGGGAAATTGTGAGCCCAGCTTTCCTATTGGTGAGATCCCCTGCGATTTCAGGAGAGGTGGGATGAGCTGCAGGTCTCTGAAATGTCTCTCTTACCAGCTCTTCCATGCTCACTGTTCCTTTACAGCAAATTTGGCCTGGGCGGGAGCTCATAGATTTCATCACACTGACGTGTGAGGGAGAACTAGGAGCTTAGGCCTTGTTGTGGGGGAGAGAGAGGAAGTAGCAGGGAAAGAGAGAGAGTCCCAGAAAGAGAATGAGAACCCTGATTAGCCACAGGCGGTGTAAACAGTAGCATAGAATTGGAAAGGGCAATAATGGCAGTGCTGGAGTGTCTATTAGCAAACATGCCTCTTACCAATAGTTCTCTTTTTCTTCTTTTTGATACCAGGGATTGCATTTAGGGTTACTCGACCACTGAGCCTCATCCCCAGCCCTATTTTCTATTTTCTTTAGAGACAGGGTCTCACTAAGTTGCTTAGCGCCTCACCTTTGCTGAGACTGGCTTTGAACTGGTGATCCTCCTGTCTCAGCCTCCCAAACTGCTGGGATTATAAGGAGTGCACCACTGTGCCTCTCTGCCATAGGAACTTTGGTGTGTCATCCTTGTATTATTCGTTTCTTTGGACCCTCAACAGTTCAGTTTCAGATGTTAAATATTTTGGTTCAGGGGGACTGGATATCAAACAGATCTAAGAAGATTTTGTGATGTGCATTTCCCGACCTAAGATTAGGAGTTGGGCTGTGACAGTAACAAGTACCAAAGCCCCGGAGTGCCCCCTAGTGGTCAGAACTGAGATGACGGGATTTCCCTTTATCTTTCATTCATTTATCTGTGAATTTGACAAATAATCAGTTAAGCTCCACGTCCCAGGATAGCCATTATCATGGAGCTCAAAGTCTAAGGAGTGTATTAGTAAACATTATGGAGTATTTAGAGTACTCCAAAAGCCAGGAAAAATATCCCAGAAAACTTGAAGAGAAAAAGTGGTTTTATTTTTCACAATTTGTTTCCCCCAGAAAAGTAGGTAGGTTTTATTTCTAACATTGTACAAATATGAGATCTTCAACTTGGGTTTAATTTTTTTTCTTAGATTTTTATTAAAAACTTCCCCTATTTTTTTCCTTATAAAATATGAATCTTAAATTAGATTGTCTCCATGGCTGGGGTTGTAGCTCAGTGGCAGAGTGCTTGCCTAGCATATGTGAGGCACTGGGTTCAAGCCTCAGCACCACATAAATAAAAATAAAGATATTGTGTTCATCTACAAGTCAAAATTTAAAAAAAATTAGATCATCTCCGGTATAATTTTCAACTCTATGTAGAATTCAGTTTCTTTATTAGCACAGTCATAATAATTAGGTAATAATATTGGATATAAAAATCAAGTAGTACTTGTCAAATTAATAATACATGTGCAGCACATCTGTACCACTGGAGTACACTACTTTCCCTGTTCTGTATGTATATAACTGGTTGATTCTGACAACAACCATCTAAAGTTCATGTTATCATTACCCTCATTTCAGATGGAGAAACCAAGGCTTAAAGAAGTAAGGAACTTTCCTGGGATCACACAGCTCTTAGGTAGCAGAGCTGGATCACCCTCTGGGTAGTCTGGGTGCAGAGGTTGGATTCTTAATCACTCTGCCATCGTAGGACTGAATTAAGTGTGAATGAACTTTGTGCATCCTGGCTGTGGCCAGAGTCTAGAAAGGATAATAGATTGTGGCTCTCCTGAGAGGTGGGGTGTGAATGAAGTCATCACTTTGCCTGTAGTGATGTGGGTAGAAGTGCTCAGAGGCCACTGTTTTCCTATGGATGTGGCTAATGAACATCTGTTGGTTAATTGATTGATAACTTCTCAAGGCCTTTTACAGCCTTGGAATTCTATTAGTTTCTCTACAAGAAACAGGTTGTAGGGAATGAAAGGCAATTTATCTTTTCAGAATTAAGTGAATTCCTTTAAACTCTTGTTTTTGTGCCTAAAGCTATACTCTGATGAAAATGTTCTTGATTTATGTCAGTGGTACAGCAATTTCATCTGGCTTTTGAAATTACTGTCATCATGGACATTTATTTAAGACAGCCACATTGGATATGTAGATGCTATGAACAATGGCAACAAGATCATGAATCATTTATAAAGTTACTGCAGTGAAAATATTTTATACTCCATTATAATACATGTACACACATATGTGAACCTACCTAAAATCTTTTGAGTATATCCAGTATCTCTCTGGGTCTGGCATAGATCCTGGCCTGGTGTAGCATAGATGCTCAATAAATGACAAATTGGATAGAGTGAAAACAAGTATTAGATTGAAATTTTGGATGCCAATATGCCCGTCTCTGCACTCTGTTCCAGTCAAAGCTTTTTAGAAGGATGAATGAGAATTACAGTAGAGAAAAATAATCTGTCCCTCTGARAAAATAATTCTTGGTTTGGAATATTTTTTGAAATGTAATAAAATTTCAAATTTAACAAAATCATACTTTTTCATATAACCTAATTTGGGCTGAAATTTACCTTTGCATTATCTATAAATGGAGTGGTAAGAAAATGAATGAATTAAGAGTTACTTGTAAGAGCTTAAGAGGTTTCCACAGGGCTAAAGCACATTGTGGCCAAATAATTATGTTATAAACATTACTCTTACCTTTTAATTAGAGAAAAAACTTTGTAATACTTATAATTGGAAACATTTTGAGAAATTAATCTCTGTAGGTATATAGTAACAGTAACAAAATTGTAATTTTTTTTTTTTTTGGTACCAGGGATTGAACCCAGGGATACTTAAGTATTAAGCCACATYCCCAGCGTGCTCGTGTGTGCGCGCACATGCACACACACATGCACACACATATATGATTTTTTTTTTAATTTTAGAGACAGGGTCTCTCTAAGTGGCTTAATCTGGCTTTGAACTCATGATCCTCCTGTCTCAGCCTCCCAAGATGCTGGGAGACTTGAATCATCATGCCTGGCTAAAATTATACTTTTTCTTAGAGCTAGTACTTGAAAATGCAGATGGAATTTCCACTACTTGGTACACAATTGTAGATTTTGATAGCATTTTGTTTAAATAGAATTTGTACTGCTATGATGCCAATGGAATTGCTTATTAAAGTAAAAGATAAATGCCTTTTATGTTCAGGAGAAATGTTCAATAGCCATTAAAACACTTTGACCATTCAATTTTGTTTCTTCAAGGTCCTGATCATCCCCACTGTCTGTCATACAAACTAGAACTTGGATCAGACCAAGAAATTCCCTCTGACTGGTACCCATTTGCTACTGTTCAGTTTTCTATGCCTGAGTCCTGTGCCTCAAGGACAGAGGTCAGGTCTCTGGGGGTGGAGAGCGATGTCCAGCCACAGAAACATGTTCAACAGCGAGCTTGCTACAACATCCAGGTACATCCTAGAGCCCCTTGGTTCATGTTGGGCCATCTAGAACTGGGGCCTGATTTGGCTTTAAATATTTGCTTTACCCTCTGAAGTGACTCTGTGTGTGTGTGTGTGTGTGTGTGTGTGTGTGTGTGTTTGTGTGTGTGTGTGTAATAATATTTGCTCTAGAAAATAAGTTTGGCCATGGAAACTTTGTAGTACTATTGAGCTTAGTTCTTCCCTTCCATACTGGAGAACACAAATTAGCAGTTATGTAAGTTTCAATGAAAAACAGGACATTTAAAATGAACTCATATCTTAGAAGTACACTTGTAATAAAAATTATGATGTGAGATTTCCCAAGATGTTCTGAGGAACATGTGTTAGGATAGCATTTCTCATGTGCTGTGGAACATGTGTCTCTCATAGTGATTCAATTAAAAAAAAAAAAAGGTTGGGATAGTAAATTAACTAAATGAAGGTTCTGAAAAGTCCTACGAAAAGAAAATTGCTAAGCTTGCTTATCTAATTTTTCCCAACTCATTGACTGATTGTCTGGTGGTTATGTGTGTATAAAACACACATCAAAATCTTACGGGGGGCTGGGGCTGTGGCTTAGTGGTAGTACATTTGCCTGGCATGTGAGAGGCACTGGTTCGATTCTCAGCACCATCTATAAATAAATAAAATAAAAGTCTATCAACAACTAAAAATATATTTTAAAAATATCTCATGGACTAGTATTCTGTGGAGCATCCTTTGAGAAATGCTGAGTTACTCTGTTACAAGAGTTTTAAGTGTTCACCATCAGTTCTGCACTCTTGGGCCAGGTGAATTACACTTACATCTGTTTCTAAACTTATTTTTTCTTCATATATATTATTATTTTTCCTTTTTATCTTCAAGTTTGGTATGTGTATACACACACACATATCTGTTTAGAAACATATATTAGACAGTATATATATTAAACATACATTAGAAACACACACAGAGCATATCTCCCACATATTTCCTGTAGTATCTTAAAAAGGTGACATATGTTGCTGGTTTTGTTTACAAATATTTTTTAAATTGGAAAATATTTCGCAAATCACAGAAATTGAATAGTGCTTAACAAACAGGTGGTTCTGTTTAGAATTTGTTTTCTTTTTGTTTTGCACATGGACAATATTTATACTAATAGCATTTTAAATATATGTGTTGGTTGAATCTCAGCTATGATTAATGCCATCCTGATTTTCTACTCATTTATTCCTATTAAAATCACGTGATTTTATATAAGACATCATTAACACCAACTAGTGGTCCTATAACATAGTAATATATCAGGATTTTTCTTTATTTTGGACCATCTGTTTTAGAAGTCTATATGTTTGAGCCTGGTGATTTTTTCCTATCGATAGAATTAATGATGGGTAGATGCTGTCCTGGGTACTTTTTTTGGCACTGAAGAACATACTTTTCCAGCATGGCTAAAGAGAGCTGCTTTCCCCAAGGTCATGTCCTCTCCTGGATCACCTGTGTCCAGAGATGGGTAGATACAGTGTATAAAGACCCCATTTGATCAGCTAGGCTAAGTCTACAGGACCAATAAAGGGTCAGCCTCCCAGATATTGGCTGCTCTGCCCACCTGTCTCCCCGCTGTCGTCAGTGATCAGCAGAACGCACCAGTGAACTTTCTCACTTGAATCTTATCTCGAAATCTGCTTCTTGGGAACCTGACCTATAACACTAGTTGTGTAAGTGTTATGTATGACTGAAATGTGAGTCAAGTACACACAGAGACTTTACTTATACCGGCCTCCCTATTTGTAGAATACGTCAATTTCACATAGTTTTAGTAGACAGCTTAAAATTATATAACAAAGTGTCTCAGGTTTACCATGGATCTGTGTCTTTATTTCTTCAAAGTCCTGATCATCCCCACTGTCTGTTAGTTTCATAATGCTACCTTCCTTTTAGTGTCTGATGAACTGTGTCCTAGTTCCAGCTATTGCTATAGATGGGAGACACAATGGTGAACAAGAGAGACAAGGTCCCTGTCCTGATGGAGCTTCTAGTGTGTGTGTGTGGGGCAAACAAAAAATTAGTAAACAAGCAAATAATATTATTTCAACAACTGATGAATTCTAAAAAGGGAATATGATAGGGCAACAGGATTGAGAATGAGGTGAGGGGAGACTCCTTTATTCCAGGGTRGTCCAGGAGGATCTCCATGAGGAGGGGACATTTGAGATGAGATTAGAAAAAGAAGCAGCACAGATGGTTTGGCTCAACTGGGTTACTAGTTTGTAAACTAGTTTTTTTTTTTTTTTTAGGAAGATAATTTGGAGTATGTTTTAAATTTTGGGTGGGCCAATGACTGTATAATATGATCCTTTAGGAGATAACTGATCACATCTAGCCAGACTTGTCAATATCTTATCAATATATACATGTATTCTCAATATGGAATTAAAAATGAGTTAATATTTTAGATGCATATTTATAGTACTTTTGACTTAAAGAACTTCAGATTTGGAGGGAAGGATTTGAGGGGTTATTTAGTCCCCAAAGAGAGCTCTCTTCTAAGCTAGCGTGGGAGGCTGGAGGGCTGTGTTTGAAGTCACAGTGTGAGCTGGCCCATCCTTGCCTCATGTATAMATTGGACTGCTAATGCTGCCCATGTTTTGCTTTTTTATAACAGGTTGAAATAGAAAAGAAATGGATTAAAATCGATGGAGAAGACCCAGATAAAGCTGGTGGCTGCATAACTCAGTAGAAGTACCAAGAGTGATGATGATCCACACGTCAGATATGTAACTCAGAGAAACCACATGAAGTTCTGCTATTGGCTTCTGAGTGGTGGGCTTAGGACAGGCCCAGTGGCTGTGTGTACAGAAGCTTAGACCTAAAACCAAACCTTCTGTGTTTTGTGCTTTTGATATGTTTTGCCATAGGGGTTTCATCTAAATGTGTCTATAATTTGTGTGATGTTTTGCTTCTTACTGAAACTCAAAGGCACTGTTATCTGAAATACACCCTGGCAGCCAGTTTGGCTGAAGGGTTTTTGATTTTTGATTACTGAGTGGCTGATTGTTTTGTACTCTGGATTACCTGAGTGCCATATTTATTATCCCTCAGTCCCCAATCTCTTCTTGCTGTGTTAGCATCTGTACCAGAGGGAAAGGCAATCAAAGAAGATGTAAACCAAAATACTTAACTTCCCCTTTTGCTCATCTCTGAAACGTGCTTTGGTAGAGAATGAGGTTGAAACCACAGCTAAAATGGAGATTTGGAAGTATCAGTGGTTTTGAATTATTTATATTCCCATCCTCTGACCACATTGGTAAGTAATCATTGGCTGTATCTGGTAGCTGTCTTTCCGTGACTCTGTTATCATTTGAAAAGTGTCTTTGTATTCTGGTATGTGCTGCAAAGAAGCTATTCCTGTTGATATACATATTTTAGTACAAGTCACTAAGACATACTGCCTTTTGGTTGGTGGGATTCCTTTCAAAATAGAATCAGAGTATTGGACACTAGTTAAAATATTTATGTACATTAAAGATGAATTTTAAAAGTTCATGAATATTGTTTTCTAAAAGTATAGACTMTAAGAATGTATTTTGATAAAGTATTATTTGTAATTAACAGAAGCCTCTCTTGAGTAGATTCTAAATCATGATTATTTTATGTAGTGCTGCTATCATGCTATTTTTGTTAATTATATGCTTAATTTAGAGTATTATTCTTTAAAAGATGAGTAAAGTGAAAGACATTAGATTATTTTACTAATATTTCTGAGAGAAGACATTTCTATTCTTCAAAGTCAGGGAAATGACTACAGTAGTTTAGTTTTTAATGAAAAGCCAGCATCATTAGCACCTATAATACTAGTTGTAATTTCCTTTTAGTATTTACAGCAACAGGTCAGAATTATGTTTTTTAGTCTGAAAAACAAACTTCTCTGTGGTTTTAATACACCTCCAATATATGTTGAATCTTAAATATGATCAGGAGGCATTTTTCTCTATTTACTGGATTGTTTTGAGTCAAAACTGATATAATGTTCTTCCCAACAACATTTTTTGTTGGCCTACAGAGTTTATTTCCTATGTTTTATTTAATATTGTATTACATTCATTTTAATCTGTTCAAATAGATTAAAACAAACATTTATGATGGTCTGTATCAATTAGCAGATTTTATTGCTTTTCATTTTTTACTGTGAAGGCACAGAATGCAAAAGTCAATGGGAGAAAGGAATTGATGTCGTTCTTTTTAACTTCACTTGACATATTGCTCATAATATCATATGTTTGAGACTCACTGTTTATGTTTATAGGAGGGCAAATCTCTCTCTCTGTGTGTGTGTGTGTGTGTGTGTGTGTGTGTGTGTGTGAGAGAGATTGTTTTTAAAATTGTACCATCTTTTCTTATCATCTGGCATGGGCACACCCTGGAGCAACTTCAGTCTGCTCAGAACAAATATGGCCATGGGCCAGATCTGATGCTATACCACAATCCCAGAAGTTAGCTGGGTTAATTACTGCCATTCCCTTCCAAGTATGTTTTATGGCATCTGGCCTACAAAGAACTCACAGTCTGATTTAGACGAACTTAATGAATATTTACACCTCAAAATAAATTCAACAAAGGGTTCAACTAATTGTCTGTCATGCTTCACAGGTTGACTAGTATCTGTGGGTATGTCACTGCTAGGGTCATTTACTCACAAGCCACCCAGACTTCCGGGAGCATCTCAAGACTCATTGTTGAAAATATAGTAACAAAAGACTAAAGCCCAAATTGAGTTTCTGCAGCAATGCAAAGGTTGATAGCATTAACAGCAGGGTGCTCCCGAATAATTGTTAATTTGCACATTTATTAGAACCTTAAATATTCATTACTTAGTGTTAAATTAACATTCTGTGTAGGAATGAGAGCCTTCTTAATATGATTCTTCTGACCTTAGAAATGGCAGGAGGTCAAATGTGACTATGGAGCTCTAAGTGAAAAAAATCAGGTAGGGTCCATTTAGATTTAAAAAATAGAAAGTAGAATTTCTTTTGTCAGAAAGTAAATAGTGATTTTTCAAGCCCCCCCCCCCTCACTTTTAAAGGAAGTCGGAAGGGAATAAAGGAAGAAATACTTATAGCATTTTAGGTTAGTTTACTTGTTTATTACGAGTTTGACCATTTTGAAGTCAGTTGTTTGATTGACACCATGGCACATTTCCAAAGAGAGGAGCAGTTGTGACTACTCCCATTCTGTTCCAATTGTTCTAGTCTGGTCACTTTACAAATCACAGAGTCATAGTAACAATATAAATGAGTTCACGGATTGATCATCACATGATCAATTATGAAGATCTGAATTAAAGAATATTTCCTTTTTCAATGGAATCACAACAGTTTATTTAAAAAGGGATGGAAAAAGGATATTTTTCAGAACATAAAGGCTAAAATTTTTGACCTGATGTATATTTTAGACAGTTCTAGGAGTTTAGTTCCCTTAATTCTGGAGCTGTGCTTATAATACAGCCCTTTTCTTATAAATTCAGTTAGAAGGTCTTCCTTAACAATGACTGTTATAATGTTTTACTCAAAATATGATTTTGTGTCCTATCAATACAAATATAAAACAGTTTGAGCCCTAATAATCATGTAACAAAGTATTTTGTAGATTGCATATTGATTTTTCTAAAATTAAAGATGTATTTCAAATAATTCTTGCTGTGCTATGGACTTATATCTTTTGCAAGGCCTGGGGATATTTTTTTTTAAGGTGTGAAATCAATTTCAATAACCTTCAAAAATTGACTCTCTGTCAGGCATATGTATAAGACTTCACTATTAAGGACTCATTGAACATGGCATCTTGGCATATCCTGGAAAAATAATACCATCAAACTGTAATTGATGATATGATAAAGGATGATTTTTAAAAGAGCAAATAATCATGACTCATAAAGATGTGAAGTGAGTATGTGCATAAGATTTTATTTAACTCACTAATGAGGGAATCCATAAGCTGTTATAATTGGTTCAATGCTGGGTGTGGTGTTACACACCTGTAATCCCAGCAATTTGGGAGGCTGAGAAAGGAGGATCCTAAGTTCAAAGCCAGCCTCAGCAATTTAGCAAGACCTTAAGCAACTTGAGACCCTATAAAATAAAAAAGTCATAAGGAGTTCCAAAGAGAATTCAAAAAGAGACATATAKAGGAAGTAAGGAATTCTCAAATGAATTTAAAAATATAGTATCCTCCTGTCCTAACAATTAATTTACATTTCTGTGGACAAGAGTCATGTGCATTAATATCAGACTTCTATTATTTACATATTCATAAAATAATTCAAAGACAAAGTAAAGGTATTGATAACCTGGATGAAAATGAGATAGGACTTCCATTTTTTTTTTTTTGACAATAGGCTGAACTTTGTCCACAGGAGAACAGAATTGTACAACTTGGGCAACTTGTTTAGTAGTACTAAAGAAATCATGTGTATTTAAAAGCAAAGTTTTTGAAGTTTTGAAAACTATTTTTACCCAATAGTGCAGAATATATTTTTACCCAATAGTGCAGAATATATTTCAGAGAGCTGGGGTGGGTGCGGTGGGTAGGCCATAATAGATACAAAAGTAAATCAATGCTGATTAAAAAACCCTAATGAAACCAACCTCTCTTTCCATCATAAGAAAACTGACATTTGTTGAAATTAAATTTTTATCTATTAAAGTTAATATTTCAAAACTGTACCAGAAAGATCACTGAGCACTATTCTAGCCATTGCTGGTAGTGACAAAGCTTGGCTGTTGTTCTTCAGGAGCAAGAGAAAGGATTAAGTGTCATCGAGTGACATGTTTGTAACAATGTCCCTCAAAGCCCCATCATTTAATTCTTTCTTGTTCAGATCTACCTAGGCAGCCCTGCCCGCTTCCAGGTATCTATTCATCTATCCTAGACCCTCTCACTCCCTGCACAATTCTGTCCCTAGGACCTTTTGCTCCTAAAGTATAGAACTGTGTGTATTTGGTGAGATATTGATTTTGATATTGACAATTTGATATTTTCATTGACAATTTCCAGTGTTTGTCATTCTTGCTAGCAATTTCATGGGGCTCAACCTAATTACCTGTCTATTTTCCAGGGTTATATGAAACAAGGATTTTTTTTCTTGTTGTAAGTATATTAATAAGTTCTTGCTTAGAGCTGGCATTGAGATATGAATTTGACTGTAATTATTTTTTTTTTTTTTGGTACCGGAGATTGAACTCAGCAGCACTTAACCACTCTGCCACATTCCTAGCCCTTTTTTATATTTTATTTAGAGATAAGGTCTCAATTGAGTTGCTTAGAGCCTTGCTAAGTTGCTGAGGCTGGCTTTGAATTTGTGATCCTCATGCTTCAGCCTCCTGAGCCTTGTAATTAATTCCTTTTTTTTTTTTCTAAAGAGAGAGTGAGAGAGGAGAGAGAGAGAAGAGAGAGAGAGAGAGAGAGAGAATTTTTAATATTTATTTTTTAGTTCTCGGCGGACACAACATCTTTGTTGGTATGTGGTGCTGAGGATCGAACCCGGGCCGCACGCATGCCAGGCGAGCGCGCTACCGCCTGAGCCACATTCCCAGCCCTGTAATTAATTCTTAAAGCAAGATAGTTGCTGGTTATCAAGCAGATAGTTGATTTACTAAAAATACCATAGATAAAAGTTTCAGGTAATATTGTGCTTTTAAGATTATGTTCCTTCCACCTGTATGAAAGAAGAAAATGGATTAGTGTGTTGCCCCATGTTTTGAAAGATTGAAGTTCATTTCCATGAGAATTCTAGGAAGAAACACAAATTGCCATTCCACCTTGAGATTTGCTTCTTCCCCTCATRCCTCTGCACACCAGCACAGCCTTCCAAACCTCAGAAGGAAGGATAGTTTATGTAAATAAAAGGATTGTATCTTGACATTTTTCTGAGAAGCCCCCTTTGTCCTACCCAGAATTGCTGTAATATCCATGAAATGTAACTTGCAGTACACTTTTAAAACAGAAGAGGGTGCTCTCAGGCAAGCTGCTGTTATCCAGAGTCAGAAACACCAGCATTTGAATTTGGTGAAGCTTGTATTTTGATTAATAAAAGATCTTGAGGGCATTTTACAAATCATTTCAAAGCATCGTGAGTCCGGTGAAGCATAATTAAAATTAATGCAGTAGACAAACACTTTAAAGTATTCTTAATGCTTTGTCTAAAAATGCTGTTGAATACAATTTTACACATCCCAAGGATTTAAATACTATGCTTATCTCTAAACATTTCTATTAAGGAGACAGAAAAATAGCATGTTCCTTCTCCACTGATTTAAAACTCTAATGAGAGTTAATAAACTCTAAATCKTACTTATGAAGATTTAGAAAATATTGTAATTAATCCATCTTGTGTGGGCATGTAGCAAAGTCAATGTGGTCTCTAAAATTTAGCTCCAGCCCAGGATTGTACTTTCAGTCTATGGGTAAGACCAAGCAAATATTTGCTTGCAGAATATTCCATGTTACCTTGACCCAGGGACAAGGCTTTGTTCTTTCAATCCTCAGAAAACAGTAATGAGCTCTTTCTCTCAGAAATCTTTCTGGGTGGATGTTGCCATTCTTTTATGAAGCCCATTAGAACATTCTTCTTCTAAAAATCTTATGTCATGAGCAAGTCTATGAGTGTAGTATGAGACATTCCCAAAGGTGTCTGCCGCCATCTGAAGTACAGAAGTGTTGCTTAAGGCATTGGCTGCCACAGTTTGTCACTTCTAATAACCTCAAAATGCTATGTCATTACAATCAATCATCTTGCTGATTATTCTAATGTTTATTGAGTGCTTTCTATGTGTCTACATTTTTTCTAGACACTGGGGATAAAYAATCACAAAACAGTTAATTGCTGTTATCCTAGAGGGTATATAATAATGGAGGAAGTCAGACAATAAACAGTAATTTGTTATGCAGGAAAATAAAGAAGGGAGGGTGGCAAAGAGTGGCRGAAGAATGTTGAAATGGAGTTCCAGAAGAAACCTGGAAAAAGTGAAAGAGAGAGTCACCTGGATCCTTCAGGGAAGAGTGAGTCCAGCCACTGCTAATGCACAGGTGCTAGAATCAGGGCTCTTGGACTGTCTCAGGAATATCAAGGCTAGCAGCAAATAGCTACTCAGTGGCAGAGGACCAGGGAGAAGGAAATCAGAGAGGTTGCTAGCAGGTCAGGGAGGAGATCAGGTAGGGCTTTGTAGGCCATGGTAAGGACTTCAGGTTTCATCCTAAATGAGATGGAAACCCCTAGAGAGTTTCTGGTGAACAAGTTACATGAACTTTGTTACATGTTAAGGTGAKTCTATGAATGAGTGGGGGGCAATGACAGAAGCAGAGAGAGCAGTTAGGAGCCTATTGCAATAACCCAGGCTTCTTAGTTTGTTCCTGCTGATATAATAAAATACCATAGGCTGGGTAATTTATAAAGATCAGAAATTTATTTCTTACAGTTATGAGAGGTTGGAGAGTTCAAGATCAAGGTGCTAGAGTATTCAATGTCTGATAAGGCTCAGTTCTTCATAGAGGGCACCATCTGTGTGTCTTTGCAGGAGGAAGGAGCAAAAAGGCTCCCTCAATCCTTTAAAAAAATCTATTATAGTGTGGGGGACTGAACCCAGGGTCTCGTGCATGTAAGGCAAGCACTCTACCAACTGAACTATATCTCCAATCCCCCTTGAGCCTTTTTTTAAATAGCACTGATCCTGTTTGTAAGGGTGGAGCCTCACATCCTAATTACTTCCCAAAGGCTCCATCTTTTACTACCATCCATTGAGGGTTAGATTTCCACATGTGAATTTTGGGAAGACACAAACCTTCAGACAGTAGCACCAGGTGTGACCAATCATAGTGATTAGGAGTTATGAAAGAAGATGCAAAATTGTTGAAATACAAGAAAGAACAGTGCATGCTGAGGGACTGGATGTGGATTGTGAGGGGGAGAGGGAATGGAAGATGGATGATTCTAAGATTTTTCATCTGAGCAGCTACAGAATGGGAGCGAAAGATCAGGAGTTTATGCTTGAATGGGATGTGTTAACCTTGAGACATTTATTAGGTATACAAGTGGAGACAGTGAGTCCTACTTGGGTGCATAAGGTGGGAGAGAGTGCTGGGCTAAAGATGCCACTTTGGGAACAGCAGAATTTAGAGCTGTGGGACTGGCTGGGATCACCTGGGAGAGAATAGAAATACTAGAAGTGATCTGAGAGCTGAACCCTTGGGCTTTTTGAAGTTTAGAGGTCGGAAAAACAAGGACAGTAAAGGAGACCAAGAAAGGGCAGCTGGAGGAGAAGACATCAGAGAATGGTATCTCGGTGAGAAAGGAAGTAGTGTCTGCCTCAAATGCTGGTATAGGGTAAGATGAGGACTAAGAATTGACCACTGGATTTAGCAACAGGCAGCARTGTCATTGGAGTAAAGGCAAGGAAAGCCAATTAAGCACATAGAGAGCCAGACAGTAGATACTCTGTTGGGGAGGTAAAACTTCTTTTTACTTTCCTAGGTCCTGTGGTTGGCCTAAGAATCAAAATGACTTGAAAGAGATAAACAGAAGGAAAGCATACACATTTTATTTAATGTTTCTACTTGTATGTGGGAGTCCTCAAAAGGAAAATTTAAAAAAGCCTCCAGGCTCTAGGCACAGTAGTACACACCTGCAATCCCAGCAACTCTGGAAGCTGAGACAGAAGTTGGAGGACATCTTTAGCAATTTAGTGACGTCCTAAGCAACTTAGTGAGACCCTGTCTCAAAATAAAAAGGGCTGGAATGTGGCTCAGTAGTAAAGCACCCCTGGGTTCAAATCCCCAGTACCAAAAAAAAAAAAAAAAAGCCTTTAGACCATAATGCTTATATTAAATTTTATATGAAAAATAAAAAAAAATTGTGCTAACATGAGAAGAGAAAGGGGCTTGGTGACCAGGAAATAATGTGGAACATAATGGAAGGTAAGGGTTATTTTTAGTAGCTTTGTGTGTACAGATCCATTTTGGCATTGACTCCCAGTCTCTGATGATAAGAATGTTTCTTCCTAGCATAGGAGACCACCTTGCTTGTGGGAAATTTTATGACCTGCTTTTAGGTAGAAAGGAGGAGGTCAGAGACCCTTCCTGCAACTGCTATTTCTCAAGTTTCATCAACTTAAAATAATCAATATGCCAAAGCAGCATTTTTTTGGGTGGCATGATCTGAACTTCTCAAAGTCTTTTGAGGAGTTGTGCTGTAAACATCAGGAGAGTAGCTGGTGAGAGTGAGATCCCTCCGCCCTCCTTGAGACTCAAGTATTGGCCTTTGTTTCTACTAGTGTCTCTTTTTTCTTTAATTATTATTACTATCTTACCTTATTGATATTAATTATTGCTAAAATGTTCTCAATGTCAATGCTTATAGAAAATGATTTCTTGTCATCTTTCAATCCATGTCAACTGAATCATGTACTGTGTCTTGCATAGGTGTTAGATGTACCAGCTTGTATTTCTTCAGAGTTTTCACTAACATATTTGTGATGTTGTGGGTGTTACACATTTTAAAATAAATTTAGCCATTACTTTAATCACTTTCCATTTTGTTTTTTATTTTTTTCTTCAGTGAGCTCTGCTGGGTTGATGTCATATCATGTTGGTATGGTAATCCTATTTCAAATTTTGTTATTGAATTCAAAGTAATTA